CTTGCCCGTCTGCTTGACTGTCGGCAAGCACGGCCGCTGTGTGCGGCAGCGTGCACACGACCAGCCCTTGCCGGCCATCCGGCGATTTCCTCTGACCGATTTAACATGAAACAACATGGATGACCATAACTTACCATAACATGACTAATCATGTATAAAACGGTCGAACAACATGAACATAATATACTAAGACATACACGACTGCAGCTTGCGCTACGTGCGTAGCCGATGGCTCCGGCCAACCTCTTGGCCAACTATCAATTTCTCTCGGCAACTATAACGTGAGTTAACTTAACTTAACATAACATGAAAAATCACACATAATTCGCTCGAGATATTATGAACCTAACTTGACTTCACTCGGTGAGACCTTGAACGGCCCGTGGCATGCGCTACGTGCGCAGCTCATGTCTCTCGGCCAACTCACCGACCCAATGACAACTTCCCTCTACCAACCTGAATTAACTGAGTATAAAACAACTTACGATGATCAAGTAAACCTGAATCGCTCGGGAGTTGTCGGGTAAAATGAATATTAGTCGGTCATGACTTAATAGGCACAAAAACCGAACATGACTCGATCTTTACTTGAAGTAAAAGCCATGAACTGAACCTGGTATATCTAATTTGGTCCTATTAACATGTATTGATGTTGAAGGTAAGGCTACCTCTTTAAATCTCTTGATGAATTGTGCGTAGCTTTCCGTGATCAACCTTGCGTGCTCGTGCGTGTGTGTGCTTCGCCTCCTTTCTTCCGTACGCGGCTTTAGCTTAATTATGTACTAACCTCTCTTAAGTTCTGCTGAGTATTTAGTTAAGTGTTAAGCCATTTCCTCCCCAACATGTTAATATATAGAAGGTGAAATTTGGGTGAAAGCGTGAAGTAAAAATGGGGCCAATAAGGAGGCGCCACTTGCTTTACACCTAAAGCATGAGGTGTCTTGCCATTTTGCTTAGTCATCCTTAGGCATATAACAAAAAGCCACTTAGCTAAGTACTCATGATGATATATCACGTGAGGTTAGTTCAAGGCATACGAAATTTGTACAAACAAAACGTGGTTTAAGCTTTGATCAAACATGATCAAGATTAATTAAGTATGGTCACCTTGTGCTAAGATCATGCACCATTTAGGCGTGATTAGGCTCAATACTATTTTTATCGAACGACTAAACATGAATTTACTTATCGGAATTTATTCCGAACATAAATGTGATATTTGAAAATTAATTCGAACGCCTTTAACTGAAATAATTAGTTCCGAACGATAACGCTTAGTAAAATAGATATTCCGGAACTAAACATGATATTACTTTAATATCATAACGAGATATTACAACCTACCCCAAGTGGCTCCGTGGCGATCCCACTGAGTACGAACGAGGGGAACATCACGCTTTTGGAGCCGTTGAACCTGTCGGTCGAACACTGCTACCGGTCGCTCCTCGTAAGATAAGTCTGGATGAATCTGAATATCAGTATGAGGAATGACATGATCATGGTCGCACACGTACTTGCGTAACATGGATACATGAAAAACATTATGAACAATGGATAACTCGAGAGGTAAGGCTAATCGATATGCAACGTCGCCCACTCGCTCGAGTACTTCGAACGAGCCAATGAATCGAGGGTGCAACTTCCCTCTCTTCCCGAATCGAATAACTCCGCGAAATGGACTAACTCTGAGAAAATCTCGCTCGCCAACCTCAAACTGAATGTCTCGTCGATGATGATCGGCGGTTGATTTCATTCGACTCTGGGCTGTCTTAAGTCTCTGCCGGATCAACTCGACCTGCTCTGCTGTCTCCTCGATTAATTTCGGACC